CTCCCCATGATGGCTCTCCTTATGGAGAAGTCAGCTGTGTCCCTGTCACAGATTTGTTTTGTGGTCCTGAACTGCATCCTGATCGCACGGTGAATGACAAATCCTAAAAAGGACAGGTGGAAAAGGAGAGGGATGGAGTTAGGAACTGCGAGTGGTGGTTGAAGTATACTGGCATTGCTGCTCTGAGGTAGGGCTGGCTAGCACAAGGCCCAGGTCAGATCCTCAGTGGGAGGCGTGTGGGAGTTGACCCGCTGCCTTTAACACTGGCCAGTGCTGTCAATTGCTGCAAAGCAAATCCTAAGAAAAAAGGAACAAAACAAGCCATCTCCTCAAGTCGCTCTAAATGAGCACGATTAACAAAATGTGCATGAAATCTTACTATTCCTTCAGATAAATTCTTAAGTTTCAGAGTTTATATTTAAAGTCATGAGGTCACCGATTATAGGCAGTTCCAAGAACACATAACATATTTTCCAAACTGAATACCTTTTTTGGTATTGCTCTTCTAAAACCTTGACAAATAGAGTAACAACAGTGTCATTTGAACTGAGTGACAGCTGGACATAGGGAAGAAGGGAGGGCGCGTTAGAGCGGAAACCTCTTAGAAATGAGTGGAATATTTTACTGCCATTGGCATATGGCAGAGAGATGATATACTTCTGCAAAAGCACAGACTTTGCACAAATTGTCTTGAGCCTGTCTACTTGGATGTCCCACCTCCTATAACGCAGGAAAAAGCTCTATTTACTACAACATAAGCTGACTTCTTTAAATGATGCAAAGGACTTAAAAGCTGCAGGCTGTTATGCCACACTGTACACAAGACCTTCACCAGCTGTTTCTGACAGCCTGTCATTTTACATTTCAGCAAGCGCATCTTGTTTTGGAGTTATCTAGTGCCTTGTAAATACTGCTGATACAGAAAGTCACATTTTGCTTTTGGATGAGTAACAGAGTCACAATTTTGTTAAGTACCAGAGGACAGTAAATGGTGTGTTTTCATACATTTAAATGGATGCACGTTTTGCTTTCTGTGAATTGTAGGGAACCAGACCAGAAATTGCCAGCAAGAACGGTCAGGAACTAAAGCCCTCCTTTTCATGTATGTATATATGATTAATAATACTAGATTACTTCCATGAATTTCAGTGTTAATAATAATACATAGCTCCTGTAAGCCTTGTAATAATATAATAAAAGACATTGCTCTTGGCACACTGACTCCGCATGTTTCAGTTCAATATGCCTAGGTAAATTTGATTCTCTGTGTATTCCTGCATTCTGAAATGACTGTAACTCTTACTTCTGTCACGGTGGGTGCTGTACTACCACGCAGAAATGTGGCAGAAGAGAGGCTAGTGCGCTAATCGTAGGCAACTCGTCCTGCCTGCTTGTCGCTGTGTGCCCAGGCTTCCCTCTGGACCATGCCCACTGGGCTCCTTGGCGAGGGACGCTCAAAGAAGGGGAAGAGCTGGTGAACGCTCAGGATGATGCAAACTGTCACATCAGTGCAAATGGAGTAAAGGTAAACACTCCTGTGAATGCAAAGGAATCTTTTTATGAACTTTCAGCTGCAGCTCATAATTCAATGTAACGTCAGTGGAATCACAGTGCTTTCGGTTACAGCGTGAAGTGTTGTACTGAACCTGAGTTGCTCTCTCAGCTGCATTGGATGGGGATTCTCATATTTAAAATCCCTTTTCATTTTTTTGTGTAAGAAATTAACATTATCACAAAAACTCTATATAAATATTTATTTTTAAGTGATGAGTGAAAAGAGTCACACTGAAGTTAGAGCGACCGCTCAGTGTGGCTGAGGTCAGCCACATGCAAGTCCATAGGAGCTGGTTTGTGAGTGGTCGTATGGAGGAGCTGCACTCAGAGACGAGGGTATGAGATAGTCACTCCAGCCTGACCTGTGGGAGTTGAGTTGTCCTTTGCAGTTTGCCCCTGCATTGCCTATAAAGAGTGTCCAGACAATGAATTAGGTGTCTAGCTTGAGATAACAAACATTAAGTTGATAAATCTGACTTCTAAAGTGTAAATCTGTAAGCTCATTCTTAACCATGCCTGTTTCCTTTGTCAGTCATGTTGCAGGAGCCGCTTTTAAATTTCAAAGCAGCAGCATAATAATAGGTTTCCTGTAAAGGTCTCTATTACAGCCGTAGTTAGCTGTATCTCAGGGGAGAAATAGTAAGTGAGTAAATGGTTAAGATATAGTCTAATTAAGGCAGCATGTGCTAAAATCTATTATTATTAGGTGCGACTAGGTGAGCAGCTCCTGTGCATGACCAGGATGTACTGTAGATAGCAAGGTGATGTATGTCTCAGGCACTATGTGTAATTACAAGGGGCAGATAAGTTAGCCAGTGTGCTCAGTGTCTTCGGTGTGTCACATCAGACTGTTTCGAGGTGGTAACTCTCAAGCTGTGGTTAACCTCTTTGGTCTTCTATGATTCCAGAAATATGTAATTAACAGTCAGATAGACCAGAGCAGAAATGTAATTTTTTGTGTCATTCAAATGCATCTTAGTAGGATCTTACTTACCATTAGGATTTATGGTTCAGAGTCCATGATTAGACAGGTTCTATGTACTGACAGTGCTCAGTGTCCTTAAACCTAACTAGAGATAGAAGTTCAAAGTTAATTGTTACAGGAATAGTGATTACGTGGAAAGGAACTGATGTGGTCAGGTGCCACACAACAGATTCAACTGGGGAAGCTGTTAGAGCCCCAATCAGCATAGTGTCCACAAACTGGAGGGAAACTTCTCAATAGGTATATGCACATAGTGTTGTGTGGCTTTTTTTTTTTTTTTGGCTCAAATGCATACATATAATTATGTACCCAGCACCAAAAGCCAGCCTTGAAATTTTGATGTGAATTATTATGCATTTTTTGAGGATAATTCCTGAAAGGACAATATGGGTAGATGTAAGATAATGTGGAGTATAAAATGAGAGGGAAGATTTCTCTCAGAGGCTTCACTTGTATGATATCAGCTAACAGGTAGAAGAGAAGAGAATCATAAACAGCTGCATTTCGCTAGATAAGTGCAGAAGTCTTTCTCCTGCTCTGCAGAGGAGATAAAGTAGAAAAACACCTTTCTTCAGCTTGAAAAGGCCAGCCTAAGTGAAATGAGTTCAATTATTTCAGCTCAGTCTATAATAAAAAGTTCATATCTCAGAATTACAGTTATACGGTAATGTGAATTGCAATTTATTTCCTTATTAGTGGACTACAACAAGCAAAATATAAAAAAAACCAACAATGCATCAGATTGCTAGCAATCTGCAAAACCATTTAGCCACACTGGAACTTTAAGCATTCACTTCGTTATAACTTAATAATATAGTGGCTTGAACTGAAAATTTGTAAGATTGATCATGCTATTTGGGAGCCTGCAATACTGATATAGCATGTAGTGCTGTAAAACATGAAGGCTCTTTCACATTAGGAAATACTTTTCATAACTAAGTGGCTTAGCAGCTTCCAAAACAGAGGGACACTTTGTGCTAATTACTGAGTGTTTACATTAGCAATGCCAAACCCATGCATTGAAAATTGTGAGCTCAGAGCCCAGAAAATTTATGAAATGAACTTAAAAGTCATGAAGAAACAAGAAGATAGCACAGGATCTTTTTTGCCTTGAGGCGTGCTCCCCTGTATGTTCAAACCTTTTGCCACCACAAACATGAGGTTTAGAAGTTTTTTGTTTTTTGTTTGTTTTTTTTTTTTTGAATTGGTCCTGGCTTTCTCGCATAATTGCACAACTCTAGGAGCTGGGCCTTAAGGAGGTACTGTGCAACTTGCCAGAAAATATCTAGATTTGGCAACGCAGGGCAGACACATACATCATTATTCCAAGGAAGCTGAGAACTGGTTGTATCAATAACATCCAGAGCCCAACTGTATTATTTTTAGTTGCCTTTTAAACTCCATGGGGCCAGAGCAGAAAGGAGGTGGGATAAGGAGACAGGACAGCTGTGAAGTTAGCTTTCGAAGCGCTAGCCCACTGCCAAGCTGGAGAGAGCCCAAGCCGTGCCGTGAGCTAACGGGGCGCAGGCGAGGGGCCGCGTCCAGGCCGCGCAGAGGAGCCTTAGCGGTGACCGTGCAGGTACAAGGAGGCTGAAAAACCCAAGAAGTACCTGGGCAGGCACACTGAATGGCATTTCAGCCTAGAGATACGTTGCAAAGCGTAGCTGAACGTGCCGTCAGTCAGTGCATGCTTTTAATTGAATGGGGATGCACAACCTGGCTGGTTAACGCAATGTTGCATAGCAGTGAAGTGAAAAGTTCATTTTTGGCCCTCAAACCTATGGCAAGGGTTGTGTGGAAGATAAGTGGTGGTACGGGAACAATAATTATTGATAAAGAAGTGAATTTTTGGAAAAAGTGAATTGATTTCTTTTCATCGCCTTCCTCTGTTTTCCTGTTTGTGCTTCTAAGGTACTAGCTCTTCTCAGGACATAAAATAAATTATTATGGGGAAAAAATATTCTTGTAGTACTTTGAGCCTGCCTGGAAGTAGGAATAGAGACCTACTGAAATGTTACGACAGGAGATTCAAGGACTGGGAGAGAGAAGAGAGACATCTGAACTACTAGGCACATGAGCAAGACCTGGCAAATACCAAGTTTTAATAATCCATGATTTTAGGGTGCTGAACAGAGATAAAAAATGATAGATGCTAATAGGCATTTCTGTCTTTCCTTCTTTCTTATTCTATCAATCAGGAAAGAACAAATACCCACTCCAAAAAAAGCCTAAGAGAAAATGCACATTTTCCACAAGATTATAGTATGTAAACAGACATGTCATTAAAATTTCACGTTGAGCAAGCATTAGATATGGGGAATGTGAAGTCATCCAACATAGCAGAAGTTTATCAGGAAATTCAGCTATTAAAATTTCCACAGTTAAATAACTATCCAGTTATCTTTGCTGGTATGGGGTCACGGATAAACAATTAATTTAATATTGTCTGTAGCACTTTTTTCCCCCCCAAAATGAAAACAATTGGGTTCTGCTCACAGCTGCTTTTTCTGCTGACCGTCACGGCCTTAGAAACTTGTCTTGGCGAGAATCGCTAGCGTTAGTGCTGATGCTGGGAGAAGGCTGAACCCCTCCGCGCTTTGCATGCAGTGTGGAAAGTCACCTGGAGCTTGTCCCTGAGCCCCTGTGCCGAGGCTTTACACGCGTAACTGCGAGGGCGAGGTGCCGTCCCCTTGTCGGGCAGCTGGGACTTTTGGAAACGTTATCCGCACGACAAACCCCATGTTCAAAACGAGCTTTCAGAAGCACTTCTGCAGCTCATTAAACGTTATTTCAGGGAATGTTCGTCCCACTAAGCGAGGTCGTCTGAACTCTGACAGAAGGCACGTTCTGGAAGGAAAATGAAATACGCTCAATATACTTCAAGCATATTCATTTAAAAATTAAAGTTACACGAAGAAGTGTGTGCACATCCACAGCGGGATGTATGGGATGGCGGTTGTGGTCAAATTAACTCACCCTGGAAAATGACATTTTATTAACTGAAGTTTTTAAAACCTGCAAATATGAGGTTAGGGAAATAACTAAATTATATTTAGTAATGCAAATAATTTGATGGCCTAATTAGAATAGAAAATCTCAGTTTCATTGCATGCTACTGCGTAGTCCAGTTCCAGTCAACTTACATACCTCACAGGGCTCTACTAGGAAGTTTGACATTATTTATTTTTGTCATGTCGTTGGGAAAGAGAGTTGTCCATGTGCACCAAGGATTTTCCAAGAGCAGAGTTTTAATTACGTTAGCCTTTTCATGAAAAGGATTACTGGCTTCCAGTCATACATACCATTTAACTACAACTTATCGGCTTATTTCAAGAGCACAAACTATCACAGATTTGCAGAGAAATCCAGAAAATGCAATTTTATTATCAATATAAGATATATAATTGTGTGTCAATGGTACAATATTTTTAGGCCAGATTTTTAGCATGTTCATAATGCCAGATTCAATCTACCTTTAAAAGACACTTATGTGCAAAAACAATGGAGCAACAGCAGCAATGACAATAGGCCCTACCCTTCTCGTGCACATTTCTTTCAAGATACTTCCATAGCAGGTAGTAATTGTTACATTTATTGTATAATGCCTGGAAGTCTATGTCATTTTTGCAAATCCAGGACTTGCCAAGTGAAGATGGAAAGTATATAGGTGATAGCTGGAATATTCCTAGACATTATCATTTCTTTTCTCTTTTTATAATTAATCTGCCTAACACTTGGAAAATTCCCATCTGGCAGAAATACTTTGATGTGTAACACTGGAATACTGAGACTTGCTCTTGCTGAATCAATAGCAAGATCAGGCTTCTGTTGTGTGTTTTACAATGTGCTGCTTAAATCAAGGCCCAGCTAGAACCGCTAAAACTGTTTCTGCGGCAGCCTTCCCCAAGTGTGTGGTGATCGGGAAAGCGGAGCTCATCTGCTGGATGCACTGAAGCTCTCTTGAGTGATATTTAGAAGTGGCTCTTCAACATGGAGATAACACCATTCAAGTTTCCTGAGATGGCTTTTACACTTCAATTATTGAACGTGCTACCTATTAACTATCCATTGCAAGCAAGCAGG